AGATGAACAAAGAAAGAACAACAGAAAGAAAGAAAAGAAATGAACGAGCGAAAGAAAGAAAGAAAGAAGTCCATAATAAAAAAGCAAAGTTGGAAAACTAGAAGACAATTGGCCCGAAAGCATCATCAGCGAAGAGTGTTGCGCTACGTCATAAAATCCAGTGTATAGGGTCATGGAGTCACCGAGTCAAAAGCACGGAGTCACAGAGTCGGAGTGTCACATACAGTCAAGAGTCGTACAAGTCATAGTTCATAGGGTCATCGAGAAATAAAGTCGAGTACATGTCAAGCACAAGTCATAGTTCAAAGAGTCATAGAGTCATATAGAGTCATAGAGTCACAGTGAGACAGAATCATAGAGTCACAGTGTTATAGAGTCATAGCGTCAGAGTGAGAAAAAGTCATAGAGTCATGGAGTCATCTATGTACCACGCACTTGACTTGATGTAGTTCACTCTATGAACACTAATGTTCAGGTTTAGCGGGTTTAGGGTATAGTCCAACATGACGCAGAAGTCTTCCTTTCCTAGCTCCGGAACCTCACTATATAGACATCCCTGATTACTACTGCTACTACTACCACTACTACAAAAGAATACTACTACTACTACTACTACCACTACTACTACCACTACTACTGCTACTGCTACTACTGCCACTACTACTACTACTTTATTACTACTACTACTACTACTACTAGTACCACAACAACAACTACAACTACTACTACTACTACTACTACTACGACTACCGCTGCGACTATGCGACGACGACTACTACTACAACTACTACGACTACCACTGTGGTTTCAACGTGACTCTATGACTCTATGCATGGTCACTTTATGTCGCAGCAGTAGTAGTAGTAGTAGTAGTAGTAGTAGTAGGTAGTAGTAGTACTAGTAGTACTAGCAGTACCAGTACTAGTAGTAGTGATAGTAGTAGTAGTAATAATAGTTGTAGTAGTGGTAGTGGTAGTAGTAGTACTAGTACTAGTTCGAACACTCGACAACGCCAATCTCTGTGAAGGGTTGCAAGTTTCACCTCAATGCACATCAAAAGTAATAATTTTACCTCGCGTTCGAACACTCGACAACGCCAATCTGTGTGAAGGGTTGCAAAATTCATGTCAATGCACATCAAAAAATGCAACTTTACCTCGCGTTCGAACACTCGACCACGCCAATCCCTGTGAAGGGTTGCAAAATTCATCTCAATGCACATCAAAAATTGCAACTTTGCCTCGCGTTCGAACACTCGACCACGCCAATCCCTGTGAAGGGTTGCAAAATTCATCTCAATGCACATAAAAAATTGCAACTTTACCTCGCGTTCGAACACTCGACCACGCCAATCCCTGTGAATGGTTGCAAAATTCATTTCAATGCACATAAAAAAATGCAACTTTCCCTAGCGTTCGTGCATTCGACCATGCCAATCCCTGTGAAGGGTTGCAAAATGCCAATCCCTGTGAAGGGTTGCAAAATGCAGCTCAATGCACCCAAACCCTGTGAAGGGTTGCGCGGCGCCCGCAAAATGTGTAACTTTACCTCGCGTTTGAACGCCCGAGGATGCTGCCCTGCAAGGCAATGCAACACGGCCAAGCAAACCACAAAAAAAAAAATTCCCAAAAAAAAAAAAAAAAAAACCCAAACTAATTCCAGACCCATTAATATAAGTACCCTAAATGGAGTTACCCCAATTACAACCCTTATAACCTACTTACTAAGTCCCCTGCCCCGCCAAGTATAGGAGACTAAATAACGTTTAGGGTTCCTGTAGAAGGGGTCTATAAGGATTACATACTATAACATTAGGGTTCAAAATAGCCCAAAGGCCTTATATAGTATGGTCTTTGGGCCCAAACGCCTCAGAGCCCTAGGGTAAGGAATACTATCAAGTACGCAAAGGTCCCAAAGTCGTTCCTTTTTGGGGTTCGTATATAGAATCCTATAAGGTATAATCCCAAAAAGGAACTACTATGGAGCCTCTGGGTAGGTACCCCCTAAACCCTAACCCTTAAACCTTAAACCCCTAAACCCTAAGCCCCTAAACCCTAAACCCTAAGCCCCTAAACCCTGAACCTAAAAACCCTAAACCCTAAACCCTAAACCCCTAAACCCTAAACCCTAAGCCCCTAAGCCCCTAAGCCCCTAAACCCTAAACCCTAAACCCTAAACCCCTTGGCCCTGGTAGTCCCCAGGATCTTGCGCCGCTCCACCCACTCTGCTGGCCCTCGGAGCTGCAGGGAGAGCCGTGCGCCCGCCCAGAGATCCCAAGACCCCTTAATTAAGGAATACCTACCCAGACCTTCCAAAACCCCTTAATTAAGGAATATACCTTAAATTATAATAGGATCCCTAATAAGCTTGAAGGTATATTCCTTAATTAAGGGGTTTTGGAAGGTCTGGGTAGGGTTCCTTCAAAGGGATCCTTCAGGGTTCCTTAAAGGGGTCTAGACGGTTTAGGGTTTAGGAGATCCCAATACCCCTTAATTAAGGAATATACCTTAACCCTGAAGAACCTACCTTTCTAGGGTTCCTTATTATGATTCCTTTCTATAAGTCCTTACAAATGTAGGTTCTTCGGGGTTAAGGTATACCTTAAACCATAATATTAATAAGGCCCCTATTATTTAAGGTAGGCGGTTAGACCTCGATGAACGTGAGCCGATTCGGCGTAGCTACCCAAAGCGTCCTACGTGTCATCTCCTTTGTTTCGTTTAGCCAGTTGTGTATATATGTTGGTTTTTATCAAGTAACCCAAGAGGAATTGCAATGGAGACGAGACCGAGACTTTTGCTTTGTGGGGTATCAGGGTTCGGGGCTTAGGGATGTGAGGCCGTTTGGCCTGGGCTTAGTAGTGTCTGGCTGAGGTTTTTTCATTCCAGACAGTCGTTCTTTTGGGGGGGATGGGCAGGCTCTGTTTCAGGTTACTACGGGGGCTTAAAATTTCCAGCATTATTCCTTGTGGTTCTCTTTTTACTTATACTATAAATGGGCCCAAAACCCTGTTCTAATTATTACGGCGAAAGCCTCAGGTACGTGGTCGAGTTGATGCGCGGTAGCATGAACGGCTGCTGCACTCTCTCTGCAGAGCCCTCGGATGGATACCAACGTCATAGGGACTTTTAAGGGGGTAGGAGGGCGGGGGGTAGGGGACTATATTTCCTTCAATAGGCCTTATTAAGTCATTGTAGGTACTAAGGCCCCTACCCCCCTCCCCCCTTCCTCCCCTAAGGGTCCTTATGACAACGGTTGTTTGGAAACGTTCCCAGATTTGGGCTCTCACCGGGTCCCTCAAAAGGAGCTTCGCAGAGTAGGAACAGAAGTAGGACGTGGTCATTGTAGTCGTCGTCGCAGTTGTAGTATAGTTGTTGCCGCTGTTGTAGTTCTAGGTGTAGTAATCAGTAGAAATAAGTAGGAGTAGAAGTAGCGGCAGCAGCAGCAGCAATAGCAGTCTCCGTGGGGCAACCTCACCATCAGCTCCCGCCGACTCGAGCAGCAGCCGCCATTTCTAGGTTGGCATTCGTCGCACAGAACTGTAATGGTAGTACCCAGACCTTCCAAAACCCCTTAATTAAGGAATATACCTTAAATTATAGTAGGACCCTTAATATGATTTAAGGTATATTCCTTAATTAAGGGATTTTGGAAGGTCTGGGTACTGCGACATTTCTGAAGCCGTACTCTACTTGCGAAGGCTGCGTCCCCCATGTCCACCTGGTTCAACAAGCGCTCGCCCTTTTATATAAGGGTCTAAGTGCCTCGCATCTCAGCTACCAGCGAGTAGTCTGTGCACAGAGTGTGGACTCTAACTAAAGTCTAAGCCCCAATCGCTTCATCCCTAATCTCTAAACCCCAATAATTTCATCCGTAGCCTCATTAACCTTAAACTCCAAACCCCAAAGCTTAGTCCCATCTTCAAACGTTGAGTCTCCTGCTTGCAAGGCGCGGCTGACGCAGGGGCTGGATATCGCCAACAGCCTGGCCGCAAGGGGCTTTTCGAGATCAGAGGCCTATAGATTTAGGGTTTAAGGTGTAATTCGCAATTTTAGAGCCATAGTTGGATTGCGTTTAGGAGTTCGGCGCTCGCACGCAGACAACAGCACAAAGGAGCACACATGTGTACACACACACATCTGATTATGTGTATATGTATGTGTGTACACGTACGTGTGTGTATACTGTATACTTGTTCTCGTTTACGACTCTGTTGAGATTTTTGTTTGTTGCTTGTAGCCACATGGACTCGACAGCTATCGGGTCTTAACCCCAATACCAGGTACTACTTGTCGGTCCTCTTGAAGAATTGCAAAACGATAGACGCGAAAGTATCCTACAAACTCCGCTTAAAGCCCAAACTCTAGAAGCCCCCAACCCCAAACCGCAAATTCACCCCTGAACCCCAAACCCTCAACCCCTACGGTTGATGATATAAATCCTGCATTACCCATAATAAGGAATATATGGTAATTATGGTATATTCCTTATTATGGGTCATGCAGGATTTATATCATCAACCGTATTATAGACCTTTGAAGGAACCGTTTTGGATCCCGTTAAAGGAACCCCTGAACCCTAAACCCAATTCCGATACCTAGTAGTAGAGTAGGTAACCTTTAACGTTTGTTGGGTAGTCTAGCCCCTATATAACCCCTATATAACCAAAAAGGTTAATTAACCTTTAGTTGCCCATGATACCCAACAAGCAGGGATATATAGTACCCTAAATAGTAGGATCCTTATTATAAGCACCCCAAATAAGGTACCCCCTAATTTTCGGAGACTAGCACCTCGATGAACGTGATCGGCTTCGGCGTAGCTACCCAAAGAATCCTAGCTGTCATCCCTTTAAAGGAACCCCTAAACCCTAAACCCAAGTTTGATACTGTTGATGGACAAATTCCTGCATTACCCATTATAAGGAATATACCATAGTTCCCATAGTTTAGAGTCCTTAGGGTCATGCAGGATTTTGTCCATCAACAGTAGGACCCCTCATGGGCGCACGCCTTGGGCAGGTGCTGTGGGCTTTGACGGCGGTCGACTCTAGGCTCGGTTTTTATGCGCTTTTTCCGGGTCTCCCAGGGGTTTAGGGGTTTAGAAGTTTAGGGGGTTAGGTTTTTAGGGTTGCAAGTCTAAACTTTAAATCCTAAGCCTTAAATCTTAAGCCTTGAACCTTGGACCCTACACCTAAACGAACCCTTATATAAATCCTAAGCCCACAACCCTACATAAGGGAAGCCTGGGAGGTTCCATTTGGCTTTAAGGGCTCCTTGAAGGAATCCTGAAAGGTTCCCTGAAGGAGCCCCTGTAACAGTAGAGTTTAGGCTTTAGGGGTTCAAGGGTTTAGGGGGCGTTTCGAGGTCCGAGTCTGGGCGCCAGAGTACCCAAATCTTCCAAAAATCTCTTACTTAAGGAAGGTACCCTAAATCATATTTGGGATAGGTTTAGGGTTATATCCCTCAGTTGAGGGATTTGGGAAGGTCTGGCTAAACCAAGGCCCTTGAGGTATCGAAATGTACCTGTTCTGGTTGGGTCATTCGGTTTAGGGTTTAGGGTTTAGGGTTTTTCCCAAGCATACATTACTTAGGCCTGAAACCCTAAGTAATAATCTGTAGACCCTAAACCCCGCCAGGAAGCAAAGATGCCTCTTAAAGAGGACACTACGACGGTACCCCCTTTATCAGGGGGCCCTGTCATAGAACCCAACAGTACCCTTAAAGGGGACGATCTCATAAAACTCTAGAGTAAACCCCAAGTCCTAAACCCTAAGAGGCTCTTTCTGGTAAGGAATTCTTGCTGTACATGCAGTCGGAAAAGGGCCCTTACAAAAAAATAAAAATAAACACAATAATAAAGAATAAACCCTAAAACCCTAAACCCTCAGCCTTCAACCCTAAACCCTCAAACCCTAAAGCCCTAAACCTTAAACCCTAGAACCCTAAAACCTCAAACCCTAAACCCTAAAACTCGAAAACCCTAAAACCTTAAACCGCGAAGCAAAGAGGTCCTTCAACTTGAGAGCCGCGCCCGGACGAGCCGTGCGGGCGATGGTGCCTCTCATTGCCACTTGGAGGATCAGGGGACTTACGGTTGGTGATATAAACCCTAGGGTTCCCTTAAAGGGATCTATAAGGGTACCTGTAACGGGTTCCTTTTAAGGGGTTCCTTTAAGGCATCTTTAGGGTTTTAGGGTTTAGGGTGTAGGTTGATGATATAAATCCTACATTACCCATAATAAGGAGTATACCATAATTCCCATAGTTTAGGGTAATTAAGATAATGCAGGATTTATATCATCAACCGTAGTAAGTAAGGTTATAAGTACCCCAATTGGGGCTATCAGCAATTTTATGTATAGTTACCTTATTTATAACCCTAGTTACTAAGTCCCATGATCCTTTAGGCACTTGTTTACCGCGAACAAAGGGTTTGGGGGTTAGCGGTTTTGAGGTTTAGGGGTTAAGTTTAGGGTTTAGGGGTTTTGTTTGAGGTTCAGGATTTAAGTTTAGGGTTTAGGGGTTTTGAGAGTTAGGGTTAAGTTTAGGGTTTAGGGGTATGTGAGGGGTTAAGAGGTTTAGGGTTAAGTTTAGGGTTTAGCGGGTTGGGGATAAGCGGTTGTGGGTGAAGTTTAGGGCAGGGTTTAGGTTTTATGGCATTTTTGAAGACGTCGTACTAACATGGTGCTAACATTCCTTTACAGTCCAGACGTAACGCACTAAAACCCCAATCCAGAGTGGAATGATTTAGGCCTTTCTTGCCTGAACAACCCTTATACATCCCTTAAAGGAGCCTATATGCTTACAAAGAAGCCCCTCGCGCGGTTCCCCGAACGCCGTCGAGGATCTTTTGAACACCTTTGTGCCGGTCGCCTCAGGGCCGTGCTGCTGGAACTGTCAGCCTTCCCGACAGGCTTGACATGCGCTCTTACCTGAGGCTCAAAATAGCCCAAACGCCTTACGTTATATGGTTTTCATTGTTGACCGGGCCTAACAGCCTGAGTATACCTGAAAAACTAGGGTTACGGTTTGGGGATGTTTAGGGTCTAGGAGTCTAGGTTCAGGGTTTACAGTGTTTTGGGTTCAGAGTTAGGGTTTTTAGGGATTGTGATTAGGGTCCAGCGTTGGTGTGCTCAAAAACAACATTCGTTTCGTGGCCTTCATGCCGTAGTTGGCTTACGGAAGTACATGAGTGTCGTAACTTGAGCATACACCCCGAACCCTGAACCCCTCACCCGAAAGCTTATGTAGAAGCTCCAAGTCGTTTCTGCCCCAAACATATGAAATGGCCAGGTTTTCCGGGGACTTTGATTCTGGCGCAGAGCTGAAGGCTGCTAGCCACATCCAGCCAGGACCGCATGCTGTTTTGGTTTAGCACAGGGGCCTAATGGAATCTGCTTGGAGGGGCAGGGAACTTGTAACGTAAGTAGGGTATAAGTAGAGTTATAAGTACCTGAAATGGAGTTACCCCAGTTATAGCTGCACTTAAACTTAATTATAACCTACTTACTAAGTCCCCTGCCCCTCCAAGTGGGCGCATACTATTATACATATTGTTGTAGTAGGTACCCTCGGGAATTCTATTAGTATCTCTACAGCCTTCTTTATTCGGTGCTAAGTCAGTTCTGGGTATCAGCGTAGGGGAGGAAGACTTGTTTGCAGTGTTTTTCTTGGCCGCCCTGAGCCCTAAGTTGTAAAGCCGAGACCTAAACTGCACAGAGCTCTAAAGCATAAGCCATGTCGTGCCCTTAAACTTAAAGGGACCCTGAAAGCTAAAGTTGTTGCTCAGTATCCTCTGAATTTGCCTAAGGTCCATGTATGTGTAAGGTGAATACATTGGCCCCAAACTACCTGTAAAGGACTAGTTTAAGGTCAACGTATATACTATTTGGGATACATGGACCCTTAGGGTTTGTAAGGAAACTTTGAAATGGGAGTTTCCGAAAATAGGGGTACCATATTTAGGGGTCCTTATAATAAGGATCCTATTATTTAGGGTACTATATTATAAGGGTCCCCTATTTTCGGAAACTCTGAAATCAACTCTGAAAGGCGGCCGATTCTGCCGTCAAGGAGCTTTGAATTTGTAAGGAAACTCTGACATGAACTCTGAAAGCGAATCCGATTCTGCCGTTTAGGGTTTAGGGTTTAGGGTTTGGAATCTAAGCCCCAAACTAGGAAGGGAACCCGATTCTGTAGTCAAGGAGACGAGCTGACTCATCTGTATAGTGAGCTCTCCTCTGCAGCGCTGTGGGCAAGCTACTGGCTCTCATAGCTGCTTTATAGGGATTTCTCAGGTCTTTGTAGCGTATTGTAGAGTTTGTAGTAGGGTTGTGTAAGGTTTTCGTGGGGTAGTGTAGGGTTTATAGCTACTGGCTCTCATAGCTGCTTTGTAGGGTTTTATAGGTTTTCAATGTTTTTGTATGGTATTGTAGGGTTTTACAGGTGTTCTAAGTTTGTTTGCAGGGCATTGTAGAGTTTTATAGGTTTTCTAGGTTTTTTGTGGGGTATTGTAGGGTTTATACCGTTTCTCAGCGTCCTGTAAAACTTGGATAAGAGTTCCTCGCAGCCCGCAGACCTAATTGGTAGGTTTGCGGGTACCCTCAGGTTATGTACGGGGTCTGATGAGATGGTTTAAGGAACGGTAAGCCATTGAATCGGGAGCCACAGGCGAAGTACCAGGACAGAGATATACTGTTCAGGGCATGTAAATACTAATGTACATGTTCTGAGTTGCGCAATCATGGTCGGTTAAGTCAAGACCCTGAGGGGTCAAGTACTCCCTGTTATAGGACGTTAGGGCCTGTCTAGGTACCAAAAAGCCACAAACACGACTACTTGGACCGTCAGGGAAAACCCAAAACCCCAAACCCTAAACCCTAAACCCCTAAACCCCTAATTAAACCCGAAGCCCCCAAACCCTAAACCCCTAAACCCGAAAGCCCCAAACCCTAAACCCCTAAACCCCTAAACCCCTAAACCCTAAACCCCCAAACCCTAGGCCCTCAACCCCTAAACCCTAAGCCCTAAACCCCTAAACCCCTCAACCCCCAAACCCTGACTGAGCAAGATCCCAGGCTACGGCTTCGTCCCTGACGAGCCAATGGAAAATCCGCACGAGGCACACGGACAATCGGCACCGACTGGAGTGAAGGGTTTAGGGGCTAGGGTTTAGGGTTTAGGGTTTAGGGTTCATCAAATACCCAGAGGCTCCATATATAGTACCGTTATGGAATGAGGCCCCAAAAGACCATCCTTATCAGGGCTTTAGGGCTTAATTTCATAATGGTACTGTATCTTGAGCCTCTAGGAAAGCTGACACCGCCAGCATGCCCTAAATCCACGTGAGTCCTAAAGCCCTTAGAAACAACCAACGCACCTAAAAAACCTTGGCCTGTGCCCTTCAGCCCTAAGCCGTAAGCCTTAAACTCCAAACTTAAAGCCCAAAGCCGTACCCAAAGGGTCCGAAGTACCTTTATAGAAGAATGTACGGTTTTTAATATTCGGAATTACTATTGTGATTTGGGGAAGTATCCCCCATGACGGTACTTGGGACCCTTTGGGTTAAACCCTGAAGCCCTCGACTAGGCCGCCTTGATCGACGTGCCACTGGAAGAGGTGGGCAGCGTTTCCTAGTAGTAGACTGGGCAACCTTTCCTTTTTTGGGTAGTCTAGTCCGTAAATCATCCCTACATAACCAAACACGAGACAAGACCGCTCTCCAACAAAATATCAGGGCTTCTCAGTACAACTGTAATAGAACATAGCCCAGAACCTCAATTGTAATAGACCGTATCCCCAAAAAACCCTTATTGGATGCCTTCTTCCTTATTCTGACTCATAGAAGTCCGTATATTACATGAGCCCAGCTTCCAAGCATGGACTAGGTTGCAGAGTGAGAAGAGCAAACCTGAAAGCCAAAGAGCTGCTGCTCTGAGGGATCATGTGCCTAGATAGGATTCTTTGAAGGGTTCTATAGGGTTTAGGGAGCTTTGGTCAATCCCCAGACTTCTTCAGCATAATCTGTCCCGCAGTCAGCAAAGGTCCTGCTCTACCCTGAACGACCCTAACCCCTAAACCCTAAAACCCTAAAACCCTAACTCCTAAACCCTAAAAACCCTAACTCCTAAACCCTAAAACCCTAACCCCTAAACCCTGAAACCCTTAAACTCCCTAAACCCTAAAACCTGAAAAGCCCTAAACCCTAAAGCCCCTAAACAAATGCATTCTTGTGAGGAGGCCGTGTCGTCTAACAGGGAGCTTCTGGGATCGCTGGCAGCGAGGCATTGCAAGGGTTTGGGGTTTAGGGGTTTTAGGGTTTAGGGGTGTAGGGTTTAGGGTTTAGACATCGTTCGAAGGACAGAGCGAGGAGAGCACACGGATGAATGCTTCTGTGTAGTATGCGACAATAGAACTATAGTGCAGTACATTGAACTTTCATACACCAAAATATGCTAGAATATGCTTCAATACGCGATACTACAGTCCTACATATATCTGTCACATGGTAATTAGACCAGAGCTGGAGAGGGTAATGCAAAACTGACCGCCATCGCTTCCGAATTTCCGAGCCACTCGTCTTTGAGAATGATGCACTAAGACGCCACCTGAACCCCAAACCCGCAGCCCTGGTTCCTAAACTCTGAACCCGCTGAAGCCTTAATCTTATTATGTCAATGCATAACTCTTATAGTGAATCCCGAATCCCAGACAGTTGGAATATGGTTTCAGGATGATGACTGCAGTGATTTCTTGTGCTCTTCTTTAAAGGCATTCTGATAATGATGTTGATTTTTTCAGCTTCTATGTTAGAACAACCTGTAAAAAGGAGTCGTTTCAGTACAGAAAATCTCAACCTTTACACAGGGTTTAGGGTTTAGGGTTTCCGAAACCCCACCTTGCCTGAAGGCATTGGCGAGACGAGAAGACCCTGCTGTTCGTGCCGACCTCAGCATGCTTCTTGTAGTTTACCCATAGGCCCCAAAGTAGTTCCTTTTCGGGATTACCCTATAGGATTCCATATACGAACCCCAAAATGGGTAGTTTGTGGTGGTGGAAGGGGGGAAAGTCGGAAGTTGGCGAAATAATATTTGACCGAATGTTTTTGCAAATCCTGTATTCTATAGCAGCCAATCAAGGGAGCACCAAGGAAACAAGGAAGAACCCGCAAGCCCTGTCCTTTAGTCCCTTTCTCCGTGAGCCCGACCTCAAATAATGTAGGGGCCTTGATAATTGGAATAGGGTCTTGCGGGCTCCTTATGTAATTATAGTCAATTATAGTATAACATACCCCCAAACACTATTCTATTATTAGGGCCCTTGCATTACGCCCTGACCGTCTTCTCGGCTACAGGAAGTCCCCTGGGATGCGGAGGAGGAGCACAGTTCACGCGTTTTTTGTGGGTTTGGCTGAACATATGGGAGTTTCCGAAAATAGGCGACCTTAAGAAAGTAGCCTAAATAGTAGGATGTTCATTCTAAGGACCCCAACATAAGGTGCTCCCAATTTTCGGAAACTCCCCATATAGGGCTACAGTCATGGAGCCCGACATATCCTGTGAAGAAGGAACATACCTCAAACTACTCAGGGCTTTTTCTTTGGATCTGGAAGTTCTCCCGAAACCCAAGGGACGAAAGATCAGTCTACCCTTCGCTAACCTAGACTGATAGGCAGGCGGAAAAAGGTGCTTAAAAGAAAAAAAAGATCAGTCTACCCAGTCACTTGGATGTGGCTCTAGGGCTTAGGGTTCGACAAAGCGTGGTTTGAGCAGACTAGCGTAATTTGGGACCTATGCAGGTCAGCCCTGAAAACCATACCCAAACCCTAAGGGTCCAAGTACCCAAATAGTAGGGTTTCAAGGTCCCAAAACCATTCGGAGTATGGATTTTGGTACCTAAAACCCTACTATTTGGGTACTTGGACCCTCTGGGAACGACCAGGGGACTTAGTAAGTAGGTTATAAGTAGGGCTATAATTGGGGTAACTCCAATTAGGGTACTCACCCCAATTATAGCCTACTTCCTAAGTCCCCTGCCCTTGCAAGAAAGACTCCTGGCACCCGCTTGATTCGCCCGGGAGGAGACCGGCCCTCTGTATGCTACGCTGTTTGCGCTGCTTGCGCGGGAAGGAGAGCTGCTGGACAGAAGCTAGAGAAGGTCTAGCTTAACCGATCAAACCCTACCTTTTCGTAGGTTCTTACTATACACGGTTTGTAATAAACCCTAAATAGTAGGAATTTATAGGGACCCTACTTTTGTGTAGGTTTTGGAACAGGGCTTAAGGGATTTGGGGTTGAGGGTTCAGGCTTTAGGGCTTTGTGAGTGTTTCGCATTCATCTCACCGTTCGGATACGTTGTCCGATGCTTCAGCCTGCATTCCAAGATATGGACAGATCATGATGATGACGATGATGATGATGACCGTCGTTCGCAAGAAGACTTCAGTTTGTGAGGACCACGAGGAGGCGGAAGAGGAGGAGAGTCAGGAGAAAAGGACCATTCAGATGCAGAGACGAGTGAAGACAAGAGTAATGAGTTTAGTTTTCAAAGCAGATGATGATGAGGAGGGGCAGGCGCATGGTAATTACTGACAATTACATTTGGTGTTGGAGTGAGTATGTGTACGGCTGCGGATTGTGAGCCGTTGCTCGTCTCGTAGTCGTGATGGTCGTGGTTGCGGCTGGTGCTGCTACTGTGGCTGGTGCTGCTGCGGTGCCGTTGGTGCTGGTGCTGGTGCTGGTGCTGCTGCGTGGCAGCAGGGAGGGGGCAATGCTATCAGCTGGAAAGCAAACCGTCGCTTAGCTTCCGATACCTGCACTGTTCTTTTCAATTATCAGCTACGGACAACTTTTCATTTTGCTTGCTGCAAAGCACATGCTGTGTGGGATACCCGTTCTGGGACTCAACTTGCTCAGTGAATTGTCAGCAGGACAACCTGCTGGTGACAGCCACCTGGCGAAACCGGCTACTCCGCACACATCATACAGCGACGTAATTTCCTACCGGACATAGAAAGCAACACCCGAAGCCTTCAAAAGTAGTTATGGAAGCCTTGAGCTCACACCGTAGACCCTTCAAGCAGCTCTTTGAGGTCTGCAGAGCTGGCCGGGGACGGCGCCGTCCCCGCAAGGCGGCTACAGCATCGTAGTATATGTGGGGATCCCTTCCGAAGCCACCAAAACCCTACGGATTCGAGGACATCTATGCTGACATCGTCATAAGGCAGCCAATTGGTGTAGGGTTGTTGAGGGTTTCACAGACTGTGACATGTGGCTCCGTCAGGTTAGGCTTTGGTGTTTAGGGCCACTTTGGGGTGTGGGGTTTAGGTAGGGTTCTAATATATTTAAGCGTGACGTCTGTTGTGATTATTTTCTGTCAAGAATGCACGTTTTTTGGAAAACTGGTTGTGTTTATATACGAAGCAAGGGGAGTGGGCGGGGCCGGGCGGGGGCTTAGTGGGCATCTACTGATTATACAAGAAGCTACATCTCTGTGGGTACCCAAAGGCCCCAAAGTCGTTCCTTTTGGGGGTTCGGATATAGAATCCTATAAGGTAATCCCAAAAAGGAACTACTATGGAGCCTCTGGGTACAGGTGTCTAATTACGATAACCCAGCTACGCGTTTCTTAGCTTGTCATGTTCAAGTGGGCGCCGGGCTTGTTATTTGGGCTTCATGAGTTGTGGAGGTTCTGTAACTACTTAGCAGGCCACTGGGGTAGAAGCCATGGTTTGGTGAAGGTTGATGCAGTGTCCTTTGTAGACCCAAACTTCACGGCTTTCGCAGTGTAGTGTCATACAATTTCGGGTTAAACTTGTCGTTCATATTCATATTATTCGCATATGCTAGTACTGCTTGTATTGTTATTATTACTACTATTACTGCAACTGCCATTGCCATTCCTGTTGAAGTTACGATTCCGATTCCTATTGCTGCCGTTGCTATTGGCTTGCTGTTGCTGTTGCCATTGCTATGGCTGTTGCTACGGTTGATGATATAAATCCCGCATTACCCATAGTAAGGAATAGACCATGATTCCCATAGTTTAGGTAATGCAGAATTTATATCATCAACCGTATTGCTGCTAGTGCTGTTGCTTCAATTGTAACCTCGTGCCCCGGCCGATTCGGTTGCATTCCATGAACATCTGGCCAAGGGAGCATGTGTGTGTGTACCACCATGTGCTACGCGCATGACAACAGCTCAAGGGTGCTGGGTGCATCAGGGGGCTTGGCATGAGTTGAGGCTCCAATTTCTGCAAGCCCTTCAGAGACATGTTGGGGAAAGCCAAGATGAAGCTTTTGATCTGCATTCTGCTCTTTCTGATACTGTTTTCCGTATGTCATCAGCATTATGACGAAAAGTTCTTCCACGACTCAGGCTGATATGCTTGTCAGTAGTTTCACTCTGACTCTGACGGTAGCTTTGTGCTTGCAATCCGGCGAGCTATGGGGTTTCGTTCCGCTGTAGACAGTAGTCTGTAAGTTGCAGAAGGACCATAAGGGCCATGATAACTATGTATGCCGAGCCCAAGATGAGTGTCTTAAATCCACACAGCACCTGCAGCTTTGCACCTATAGCCATGGCTTTGGACGCTCCCTGGCGGCTCCCAAGCATCTCTGAAGAAAATCAGTCAGTAAACTATCAGAGTTTGGGGTTTCGGGGGTATCGGGCAAAAGCGTGAATCCTGGTACGACCAAACGCAGAAGGCCCCTTGCAAGCACCTCAGCTCCAAGTCTTTGGGTTTAGGGTTTAGGGTTTAGACATGAGCACAGTTCACTGGACAACAACGTATCAGTAAACCCTGCTGACCCTACTAGCAGATTGGAAGCCGGAAAGATCATCTTATAAACCTCCAACCCTCCTACACGAAGACCGGGCCCAGTCAATAAAACGCTGTCGAAGGACAACTCAACCTGCAACCCTGCACCTTAAACCTGTTCTCCAAAGACCAAAAACCGAAATCTTTAACCTTGTACCCGACCTTCTGGACGGGATTTTGATGTGCGAACTTTCACAAAAAAGGACTAGTTAAGTCTGCACGCCTGGCAGACTTAGGGCCCACGGCCGCGCTGGCAACGGCCTCCCTTCGTCCAAGCACCACACGGGGTCCAGGCCATACTGCCTGCACTGTAAGGTCTGGGATTCAGGATTTAGAGTCAGTGTCAAACCCTAAACCCTAAACCCTAAACCCTAAACCGAACTTCAGGGTTCTGGCATCAGCTTTCATTCTTTGGGCTTTAGTGTTTTAGACTGATTTCCATGTCTGGATTTTTCGGGTTCAGAGTCAACGCTTTAATATCGGGTCTAGAGGTCGGACGATGGGATTTTGCAGGGGTCCACACTTCCTTGAAAAGCTCGATATGCAAGAGTCCAGGAGCCTAATGTGAGAACCTGATTCAGAAACCCTGGCCCTATAACCCCTTATATTAGGACTAGAAGCATTAAGATTCATATAAGGAGCCGAAACAAAGACCCAAGGTTTCTTAATCGGGTTCCGATATTATCCGTCTATCTTCCTGCAGCCTCGGGCCTTGGGCCCGCCCCAGCCCCAGCCTCAGCCAGCCCAGCCCCGACACCCGGCCCCAGGATTTATAGCGTTTAAGGTTACTGAAACCTTGTCCAAAATCCATAACCCAAAACCCTAAACCCTAAACCCTAAACCCTAAACCCTAAAATCCCGTCAACAGGAGTCCTCGCAGAATCTTGGCCGACCCACGGCCGAGCTTTGGCATCTTGGTGAGTAGTTAGGTTTTACAAAGGCATCTTAAAAGTTCTAACAGGTTCCTTTGAGGGTTCTAGAATGGGTGAAAGCACGTAGCAGCAAGTCGCAGCAGCAACAAAAGTCGTAGGCGTCGTCACCGCGTAATTAGTAGTGGTAGTCGTCGTTGTCGGCAGGGTTTTGGTGGTGGTTGTGGTGCCAGTGGTCGTGGTCCCCGTCGCGGTGGTCGTGGTCGTGGGGGTCATCGTCTTCGTAGTGTGGTCGCGTAGTCGTGGTCATGGTCTTGGTGGTGGTGGTGCTGCTGCTGCGGCTGCCTGTCGCCAGTAGAAGCATTCATTTTCATAGAGGCAGTCAACTCTTGTTTCGCGGTAGTCATGTCATCCTTTATTTCGACTGCACCGGGTATTGCATTAAACCCGCTATGTAGATGTAACTTGCTCTTCACCCCTCCCTTTCCTTCCGTTCCAGAAGATGCCCGCTTTGTTAGGGGTTGTGGGTCGTGGTTGTTGAGTCGAAGTTAGTGTTTGAAAGCCCAAGGCCTTGAAACCTCAAGTATAATGGCAACATTAATGATTTTAGCTGCAATAGCAGAACGCAGTAGCATCAACGCTAACGATAGCAATAGCAATAACTGGAAGCACTAACAGTCACTAACAATTACAGTAACACTACCAGGATAATAACAATAACAAAAGCAATAATGATCACAATGGCTTCAAAAACACGAATGACAACACTAGTTAAGCTAATTGTGCTCATCATAATAATCGCTAGTCTTGAACAACTTCGGGACCCGAACTTCTGCAGGCAGTACAAGAACCGAAGTTGTGGGCCCGTTTGCGATTCACGGTCCCATGTCAACCCTCTGTACAGTATGCTATGAGCTCATGAAATAAAGGGACCAGCCCTATCCTGGCATCAAAATAGCCCAAAAGCCTTATAAAGTATCGTCTTTGGGCCCAAAAGCCTTAATATATGAGTCCTTAGATTCCTACGGTTATTCAACTGTATCATACGCCTTTTTGAAAAGCAGTCGTCACCGAGGCGGCTGTTTTTGCCTCCGCGCTCTTTCTTCGATCCCGCGTGACTGGGCATGTTCATGGCGACGGACCTGGGGCCTGGGAGTACTACAAACCCAAAGGGTCCAAAGTACTGTTACGGGGGGATACTTGGGAGGGGGGTCAACAAAAAATTAAAAAGGATCAAAAACAAATTTAGGAAGGATCAAAAAAAGTTAGAAAGGATCAAAAGCAAATCTAGCGTTTCGGAGGTAAATTGCCTATTTCCTCGCTTGACAGCCTTCGGCTTCTGGGCTCTTGGCTTCTGTGCTGCCTGGCTCCGCGGCTTTTTTTGGTCTGGGCTCCGTTGGCTTTCTGGCTTCTTGGGTTCCTGGCTTCCGGGCGGCTTGGCTTCTTGGCTGCTTGGCTTCTTGGCTTCCCGGCTTCTTGGCTTCCGGGCGGCTTGGCTTCTTGGCTGCTTGGCTTCTTGGCTTCCTTGCCGGCTTCTTGGCTTCTCGGGTTCTTGGCTTCTTGGCTTCGGTACGCTCCGCTTTTTACTGCTTTCTTGGCTTGTTGTTTTTTTGCGTTCGTTTTCTGTCTTGTTGTGTTTCTTGCTTGTATATACACACGTACACGCCTACATGCATACACACTGACATGCACTTGTTCTTGCTGACGCTCTGCTTTTCTGTTTGTTAGTCTTCGCAAGTGCTTTTCCATTGTCGTACTACGTTCCTCGGAGTTGTGGAGACGCCGATAATACTGCAGACTCTTGTCTCCTTTTAGTATTGTGTCTATTCTTTCTATCAGTTCTAGTATTATGATTTGATTTCAAAAAATGGTTTTGTTCATACTGTCTCATAGCCTGTTAGTGTTATTACAATCATGTGATTTGTATGTTATCATCTTTTCCTATGAGTATCCTTATGAATATTCTGAGTACTGTTGTTACTAGTAGCAGTATACACACATACGTACATAAATGAATACATGTAGATCTATATCTATATCTATATCTAAACATATATATATATATAGCTATACTCATATCTGTGGTAAGCCCGTGTATATATATATATATATATATACAATAATAGAAACCATAGACCAGCATGTAACACAACTACAGTATCTCCGTCGCGCAAACCTTAGATCTCCGAGCTGCCACTGGTGGGGGAGGCGCCGTGGTAGGAAGGGTGGGTGGCAGCGACGAGCTGGGGGCGGCCACGCGGAGATATTGGAATAGCACTTGCCGTTGTTTGCAGCAAATCTCCAATCCCTAATTTTTTGTTGATCCTTCCTAAATTTTATCTTGATCCGTTCAGCCTAAATTTGTTTTTGATCCTTTTCAAATGGTTTTTTGATCCTTCACCCGGGATACTTCCCCAATTCATAATAGTAATTCCTAATT